TTTTTTACTGACCTATAGCACTCAGTGGAATGATTTATTAACTTACTTTGAACAACTATTTTAAATAGATGGAAATACTTGTTTACATAAATGACCAAACCGTTTGAGACCCACTGAGATAAGTTAAACTAAAGTTTACAATCTAATCGCTCAGCGAGTCCTTTAGCTCACCTAAACTGACGTTATCTCAGCCTCTCAGTCCGACAGGAGAGGACTCTCCCTCTCCTTATTGTTGAAACAGCTTCTAATCTCCGTTAGCTCCGAGCTAGCACCAGATGCTAACAACAACCCCCGTAACTCTCTCTGTCTCGCTTGCGTAAAAAAATTATAATAAACACATTTGAAAAGTGGGGGGGACACAAACGGGATTTTGAAAAGTGGGGGGGACATGTCCCCCCTGTCCCAAGTGGAATCTACGCCCATGGGTGCACACATGATCCAGAGTAAAAGAGCTGGAATTACAAGGGAAATACAGGTGGTCTACTGAGAGTCGTGTCTTTTAACATTAAAACAAATCTTACAGGTGTTTCAACGGCTCAACGTAAACCAGATTCGACACAAGCACTCTTCATTCAGGCTTCGCAGACTCCTGCTGTGAGCTTGAACTCTGTATTGAGTCTTTTTCTGCAGAAAAGCTTATAAAAGCCTTATTTTGGGGTTTTCCGTTCCTGTAGTGTGTTACATAGGCTTTCTGCTGTAAACTGTCTGCTAAAGCTAACATCCCTGTGTTCAGTTACGAAGGAGTTTATCTCCGACACCTTTATTTATTTCCTCAACGCTTCTATTGGCTAAAGCTCCAACACATAGTAGCCTACTTGATAGGCTAAGGGGCGGGACATCTCTAAGCTGTTGACCAATCACAAGAGCCGGCCAGCTCACCAATCAGAGTACACTGGGCTCTGGTTTCAGTCAAAGGGCGAAAAGAGGTGCTGCAGCACAGGCAGTATGAGAAAAATAAAGAGCTTTTTGAACATTAAAGCATGGAGACATGTCACAGGAGAGGGACAATGAATACAAGAATGTACTTTAAATGAGCATAATGTTATTTGTAAATATTCAAAGACAATCTCTTGACTTCAAATGTTATGTCTTTAAGATATTTCCAAAACAATGTAGGGTCTGTTGCAACCAAAGCTTTTCCAAACACCAGTTTGTCACACGTTTGGTGTCACTAAACGGTTACATCCAGATCATGGAAAGGTACCACTGCTCAGAGACCCTGTTGTCGGGCCTCATTCATTAGAGGCAAAAAAACAACAATCTTCTGATTCCACTGTGTTCTCTCTGTAACTATACTTTGTGTGAGTCTCCTACTCACGTAAATGCATTTGCTTAACAAAACGTCATTGGACCAATCATCACATCTTTCTGTTTCCAATACACACTCTGGTGTTGTAGTACCTTCACCTCAAATGTAACCCTAGTGAGGAAGATCCAAGGAATCTGCAATTAGCAAGTTGTTTCCTTAAATGTAGGTCTGTGTCCTTAACAAGCATCTATGTTTTGATGGTAGCCTAATAGGGAGGGGATGTAAACTAATTACAGTCCCTACAAACATGCTATTCAACACTCAGACAACACAAGCTCTAATTAACCCGCTGTCTTGGGCTTGTATGTGAAACTGAGAGCTTGTTAGCGGTCTGTAGGGATGGTAGAAGAAAGTGGAGAGGAAATCTTCACATCTCAAACATTCAAATAATAACTGATGTGATTATGGTTTCTGATTTGTGTCTTTTTTTATTGGTATTTTATTTTCCATTAAAGTCTGATGTTTTTTCCACATGCGTCACCCACACAGTATTCTGTAGTAGGGCTTGGAATGCCACAGAATAACGTTTTGTGTTAGAAAAAAAGGATTATCTTCGCCTTGAGTCACACAGAAATAAAGCCTATAAATGGCAACATAACAATGAACTGTCCATGTTGATGAAGTCATTCAACAAGCAAGTATTTGGTGCAAGAATGAGTTCTAAAACCCGGGAATGAGTTAGCATTTTACCACTTCCAGGTGCCAGTAAATCAGCTTTTTGTAAGAAACCTGAAAATAGATTCGTGGTTAATACAAACTTATTAGATTTTTAAGCTTTGTTGTAAGACATAAAATATATCAGTAAAAACCCAACTGGTGAATGTCTGAAGCTTTTGTGTCATGAAAACGGCAGTTGCTAACAAGCTACTAAATAAGACTGGTAAACATTAGCCGCCTTTAGCTTAGCCTAGCGGTTGTTTTGGTAGCCGTGCGACCATGATGTTTGTATCCAATTCCAATTACGCTTCAAAAGTTAGAGAGTGGTGTCATTTTGTAGATTATCCTGCTGAACAAAACATCAATTATCATAAACGTGTTTTTACCGCAGAGCTTATTTTCCGCAATATTCCAAAATCCAATGGAATATTCCCATTAGCTTTTAATTGAGTCCTGGTAATGCTAACTTCTGGATCGGCATGCACAAAAGTGTCATCGCTTCACCACTCTATACTCGGTGTTGAAGTTGTGTTTGTGTGTGTGTGTATCTAACTGTTATATCAACAACGTAACCACTGCACAACTCATAATATGCAGGTGGCCTATCTAAGTGTTCCCATTATGCAGCACTCCCCATAAGTACAGCACAGATGT